GGAAAGAGTAGTCAGACTAAGGTGACACTGAAGAGGTAAAAACTGATACACTTTCGATTAACCTGGGTGCAATGGTGGCTGATAAATGTTTAACAGATGCCTTTTAAATAAAAGAAGAAGAAGAAGAATGCCCTGACTTGTAGCATTTGCCAATTTCCATGCTGTAAACACTGCCATCATGGCTGTTTCGAACTCCTGGCCTGCTGTCACTGATCCTGGAGCTGGAGGAAACGAGCATGGTCGGCTCCAGCACCACAGCCAGCAGGCAAGCACCGGAAGAGGGAAGGGCCTTCTCTGGCCTGGGGAGAGGGAAAGGCAGGAGGTGAACCCCAGTTACTAAGTCCTGTTTGGGACGCACTGAGTTAGAGAAGCCAATAGCCTTCAGTGTAAAGATGTCCAGCAGCCACTTGGACAGACGGATTTTGAATACTGCAGAGCAAAATCTGGCTGGACATTCTAGTTGACATGGAAGCCGCGAGGAACTGTACACAGGCCAAAAAGATAAGAGGGTAAAAGCACATAACCCTAGAAAACACTAACATCAGAGGGATAAATGAAGAAGCTGATTAAGATGTCTGAGAAGCACCTTAAAGAAACAGGGGGTTTCTCAGGACCCACTTCCAAATAGCCAATTCTCTGTGATCAACTCACCAAAGAATGAACTCTTTAAAGTTACCAAATTTACCTATTTTAAAAAACCTATTTCTTTTCATCATCTGTAAGGCAAGTGTTCATTAGTTGGACTTGTCTTCAGCAATCTGGCCTGTGTGAGCAAGTGCCACACGAGAGCGGGAGCCACTGGAGGCCATGTCCTCAGCAGCCTCAGCGGTCACACCACAGAATCGGGGGAGGGAGGAGGAGGCCAGTGGGAAAGCAAAGGGAAAGGGAAGGAGGAGGCAGCTCCAGGGCTTTCACTCGGCAGATGGGAGACGGTGTCAGTTATTTTTCCTTTTCCTGTTTTTAATCTGTGAGACCCAAGTAGGTTTACACTGAAAGGAAAGAGCCAGCACTTGAGAAACTGAAGCAAAAAACAGAAGGATCAGAGTCACTGATACCCTGATGATCCAGACAGGAGAGGAAGGGGACGAGAGGTGGAGCAGAGATGAAGGGGAAGCTACACGTCCCTGACTCACACCTGGAGATGCTATTTGGTTGGAGAATCCTGCCATCCCTCTCCCCATGGCAACCAAGATACGTGTCATCTACTTAGAGGCTCTAATGCCATTCCACACAAATCTAGGTAGAAAAGTTTCTGACTGATCTTGGTCTGTACCCTAAATTCACAGGAAGCAAGAACCAAATCTGAAAGTATGCCAGTCGTGTAACTTGTTTTCACAGCACTACATTCAGCGCAAAAAACTGCTTCTGATTCCCGTTTTTCATTGTCCCAAACCCTCATCCCCTCCCAATGGGCTCCCACTTCACCAGGTGAAGAAAAAAAGTCTTTTTTTTTACCCAATACACCCTAAACTTATTTCACAAGTATTTGATACCTATGACCATTTATTCTCACTCTTGGAAACACTGTTTTTTTAATAAATGCACCAAATTCTCTCAAATCAAGTCAGTGGCCTGCTTAAGTAAGAGTGCCAATATTATATCAGCATTATACTACATCGAAGTTGTCACCTAACCATAACTGAGGAGTTATCAGTTCTTATAAATGAACTTACTGTCTTAAATATGTTTATTTTTCAGTCAGTTTAGGACTCTGCCAAAATTAGAGCTGAGCAATTTGCCAAAGAGTCAGGGCTAGAATCACTAGGGCTCCAGCACTGCAATATAACATCTTCATCACTGTATCATCATTTAACAAATTCCTCCCACTACTCTTCTTTTCTTTTTAATTTATTAAATTTATTTATTTTTGGCTGTGTTGGGTCTTCATTGCTGTGCAAAGGCTTTCTCTAGTTGTGGTGCTTAGGTTTCTCCTTGCGGTGGCTTCTCTTGTTGCAGAGCACGGGCTCTAAGTGCACAGGCTCAGCAGTTGTGGTGCACGGGCTTAGTTGCTCCATGGCATGTGGGATCTTCCCAGACCAGGGATTGAACCCATGTCCCCTGCACTGGCAAGCGGATTCTTAACCACTGCGCCACCAGGGAAGTCCCCTTCCACTACTCTTTTCTACAGGAATCCAACTGAGAGACTGTGTTCACCATATCGTGTGTTTTCTCTCTCCTTTACAGTGAGATTAGCCAAAGGCTGAAAAGAGTGGAAAATCCCCCAGGAGAAATTCCATGCCACAGAACAAACTGGTTAGCAGGAGTTTAACAGAAAGAAAACATCTACCCCTAGTGTAGAGGCTCAATTCGGCTCTCAAAGGACACAACAGAGACAATGGCGCTTTAATTTAGGGTTATATTATGCCTTCTTTTACATACTAATACTTCCGATCTTTAGAGAATTTATGCAAAGATCAATTTTTAAAGGAAAATTTCTGACTCTCGGGTAGAAACTGCTTAGAACTAATCCAACTGATTGGCAAAATGAGGACAGTTGCTTCAAACAGTAAATTCTAAAAGCGTTAACTATAAAATAAAGAAACCCCAAGGGAACCACCACTAAACAATATCCTTAGGGGTCACTAAAGGGGATTCTATTTTTATCCTGAGAATCACATCTAGTGGGAAATCAAGACAGGCTAGTTACCAAAATAAGTCTTCTTTAAAAAAAAAAAAAAAAGAAAGAAGCATAAATATATCAGTAACCTACCGTCCGTCTGAGATTTACTGAGGAATATTGTGCTGGCCCGAGGATGGTCTGAAGGATTGAATTCCATGTTCAAATCTTTAAAGAAAGAAAAAGAAAATATATGAATATCCATCTGATAACTAAAGGGAGTCAAGATTTTCAATCTTAAATTACTAATACATTCAAGGATTCTGGAAAAAACCAAGTTACTGTGCTAACAGATTCTTCTAGGTTCAACTGAGAACACTGCTATTTAGAAACTTGAGAAAGTCATACAAAAAAATTAGACACTTGGCTGGAGATCTATTAGCCGAAAACTCCATTTTCTTTTTAGAAGTCTGCTCTGCACCCAGGATACTACAGAATAGCAGGACAAATTCCTAACACGTAATTAAGGAGAGTTACGTGCTACAACTGACTCATCTAAACCCCCAGTTAAGCGAGTGATATTTCCTTGTTAAAGTGACTAAAACAGAACACCTCAGCCAAATCGGCATCTACACACTCTGCTTAATTAAGACTGTCCTTTTCTGAAAACTTAATCCTTTAGAGCAAAAGCTCAAGTTGACCATCTGTGGGCATAATCTGGGCAATGGATGTAAGTTTTGTTTGACTCATTCATTTTCTTTCCTTTGTAAAAAATTTGAGCCAACAGATAATGATTTTTACATTTCAAACACATACCACAAAGGAGAAAAGAAGGTCTGTGTTTCCAGCTTCTCTTGAGAAATCAGATCACTGGCAACACCGGGCCCCACCACAGCGGTCACAACTGGCAGGACCTGAGACCCCAGCGCCCCCAAGCGCCCAGTCCTCACCCTGTGCCTCACTTCGTACCCCTTCTTCCCCCACTGGCACGTGGCTCTGTAATCCTGCCTTAGAACAGTCTCCAAGGGCTACAGGCTTGTCAGTCCAGTATAAACAATTAGAATCCGATCACAGAAGAGTTCTTCCAATTAAAAAAAAAAAAAAAAAAAGAATGGTTAAGCAAAACAAAAGAATAAAGTTAGAGGAGGGAAGAAAGAAGATCAAAAATAATGGAGGGACTTCCCTGGTGGCACAGTGGTTAAGAATCCGCCTGCCAATGCAGGGGACACAGGTTCACGCCCTGGTCTGGGAAGATCCCACATGCTGCGGAGCAACTAGGCCCATGCGTCACAACTACTGAACCTGCACTCTAGAGTCCACGAGCCACAACTACTGAGCCCGCGTGCCGCAACTACTGAAGCCCATGTGCCTAGAGCCCGTGCTCTGTAACAAGAGAAGCCACCACAATGAGAAGCCTGCACACCGCAATGAAGGGTAGCCCCTGCTCACCGCAACTAGAGAAATGCCCGTGCGCAGCAACAAAGACCCAACACAGCCAAAAATAAATAAATAAATGAATAAATAATTTTTTTAAAAAACGGAAAGTCAGAATGGTCTTCAAATCAGCTTCCAACATCAGAATGAAAACTGTTTTGAGTTCCGTTATTTCAGTAAATTTGCAAAGAAATCTAGTCAACACCAATAAAACCAGATAGTATCTATCCTTAGTTTAATAGCTAACCCAGTCAAAGATAAAAGGAAAGAAAAAACAAGGATGGCCACATGTATCCAGGAGGCAACACCTGTCACAGAGACCCCTGGGCAGACCTCTGAGGTGAGGCCTCTTCCTACCTTAGCCGATAGCTCACTGCACTACAGCTGCTCACCCCCCGCTGAGGGCTTTAGGAAGGCGACACCTGAATCGCAAACGCTCTCTTAATCATCTGGTCCTTCTTCTGTAACAAGTATTAAAGTTATACATAGTGGTTTCACAGCTGAGGGCATTAAGGGATTTTGATGGAAGGAGAAAGAGGAAACAATTTCTCAAACTTGCTTCCGTTTGTACTAGATAAAGTTAGGCCAGAAATTTCTGGTAAAAATGAGTCTGTGAGGAGCCTGAACAGAATGCTCGCTTATGTCCCGGGTGGTTTCCTGAATGCATGACAGGCCAGGTATCATTTCTACCCATTCAATGATACAGAGCAAGTCAGGAAGAGTTCAGAGGAGCCTTCAAGCTCTGGGCCTGACGTGATGTCACACATGAGGCGAGTGAGGCCAAGAGAGCTAACTGTTGAGCGGGGTGATAACAGAATGTGGATTGGGAGCTGTGGTCTCCAGCGGCAAGTCCAGAGTTTCCCCACCGTCCCTGTTAGGCCAGACCTTGCTCAGATCCCCAGTGCCCCAAAAGGACTGGAGCCTGAAACAGGAGGGAGGTAGAGGCTGATGCGGAGGGAAATCCAGAAGCCCCGAAAGCTGGCTTCCAAGTTCTCCCTGGAATTTAAGTTTTAGGATCTAGATCCTAGATGAGATAACCAGGAAGTTTCCACAAAGAAAAAAATCAAGGACTTGTTTCTGGACGCAGGGCAATGCAATGTTCCTGAGGGAAACAGATCATCAGTTAAATTTTATGTGAAAGCACGTCCAAATGTTTACACTTGTTAGGGGGCAACATCTCATGAGCTGCCAGGACATTACTTAAAAAAGGATTTAACAGCAAGTTGGTGTTAAAAAAGGATTTAACAGCAAGTTGGTGCATTTTCTCCAATCCTAAGCAGATTCATATTCCATAACTGTGGCGTGCACAGTAAACCCTACGCCCAGGTGCAAGCCAACAGGCCAAGTTCCCAAGTTCGTGCAGGCCAGGCCTGAAGGGACAGAGTGCTCTGGGCGCCCTTGCTGTGAAGGAGGGCCAGCCACAGAGGCCGGATTACCTAGCCTGACTTAAATATGCAAAATGGCACCAAAGGTACAAGGAACTGCCAGGCGTTTACTAAGACAGGGAGCAGCCCCAGACCTTGAAGAGAAATACAGAAAGTTATTCACAGTGTGTGCTTTGGTGAGGGAACTCCAACTTTGGGGGGAACAAAAATGGGAAAAGGCAGCTTTCTCACAAGCCAAGCAAAATAAACCTGCTGTGTCACTCAAACTTACACTCTGAAGTCATGACAAACCACTACTTTAGCCATGAAGAAATAATTCCCCACGCTGCAGAGTCAGGGATCGAGCACAACAAACTAAACTGGAGCACATTCTGAGGAAGGCGACGCTCCCCGTTGGCTCAGGGATGCTTCTGAATTGCAAGAATTAAAAAGAAGAAACTCACAGGCTATTACGCTTAAAATTAGAGATTATGGATGAAATAAAGCACTCTGCTACAGTCGGTTCTGACAGTATAGTACCGATTTTGAAGTCACCACCATGTCAAGTACTCCTCCGCCCCCCAAGCCCCTCCTGGAGACTCCCAGGGCCCCAGCTCTCCCCCCAGACGGGCCTTCTCAGATCACACACAGCTCCCACCTGCCCCCATCGAGCTCCTGAAGTAGCTGAGTGCTAACCCGCCCAGGAGAGGAGTAACTTATAAAATCTAAATATTTACTTGGCTGGGACTTCCCTGGTGGCGCAGTGGTTGGGAATCCACCTGCCAGTGCAGGGGACATGTGTTCGATCCCTAGCCTGGGAAGACCCCACATGCTGCGGAGCAACTAAGCCCGTGCGCCACAAACTACTGAGACTGTGCTCTAGAGCCCGCGAGCCACAACTACTGAAGCCCGCGCGCCTAGAGCCCGTGCTCTGCAACAAGAGAAGCCCACGCTTGCCGCAACTAGAGAAAGCCTGCATAGCAACGAAGACCCAACGCAGCCAAAAACAAACAAACAAAAAAATAAATATTTACTTGGCTGGGTGCCATTTTGGTGTCGTATGAACAGAGGTCACTGCCCTTACTGAAGAGTGAATCGCCATCCCTAAGACCCCGAGATGAGCTGGATGGTGACACACATGGGAGCCAACAGCACTGTAGGAAGGTCAGCACAGCCTACAGGATGACTTACAATTTAGTCACCACTAGTGCACACGACCAGCTAGTGAACAATGAGGAAAGAAGATTCTGATCAAATCCTGCGAGAAAGAGAATAGTGTGCTTAAAACAAAAGCACTCAGGGCTTCCCTGGTGGCGCAGTGGTTGAGAATCTGCCTGCCGATGCAGGGGACACGGGTTCGAGCCCTGGTCTGGGAGGATCCCACATGCCGCGGAGCAACTAGGCCCGTGAGCCACAACTGCTGAGCCTGCGCGTCTGGAGCCTGTGCTCCACAACAAGAGAGGCCGCGATAGTGACAGGCCCGCACACCGCGATGAAGAGTGGCCCCCGCTTGCCACAACTAGAGAAAGCCCTCGCACAGAAACGAAGGCCCAACACAGCAAAAATAAATTAATTAATTAATAAACTCCTACCCCCAACATCTAAAAAACAAAACAAAACAAAAAGCTCTCAAACAAAGCAATGGACTCTAAGAGTCAAAAATTTTACACTGCTTTTTTTTCCCCCGCTGGTAAGGCTATACAAATGAATTCGGTTAAACTGAACTCTACGCCAGGTATTGTGTTCAGTCCTGCTGATACCAAAAGACTACTTTGGGGTGGTAACCATGTCTGTGTCTTTACCTTTGCGGTTCTCCACACAAACTATCTCATGGTCATAAGAATGCATTCTTCATTTTCAAAGGGCTATAGTCAATTAATGGTGAGACAAAACACGTATTTAGATGCCTTCATAATGCATCACATGTTATTTCTGTCACAGAGATGCCTTCATAATTAAACTGTGGAGGGGTAAATGAGCATTCTATTAGATACCACGAGTATCACCACTGGGGGGTGGTCAAGGCCAGTCCAACCTGCCACACTTTTCACTCATTCAACAAACCATCACTGAGCATCTTCTGGGTACCAGGTACTGCTGAGTTCCACATCCTCAAGATACAGAATTGAACAAAACAGATCACGTCCCTGATCTACTAGAGTATCCTTCTAAGCTGAAGGTGAGAAGTACCAGTAAAGAAAACAACAAGGATGGAAGACCATCAAGAATACTCTATAAATTCTAAAACCCACATCCGGAAAGCTGAAAGCTGACAATCCTGGAGTTCTAGGAATCATTCATTCCCCAAAGAGAAGCTCAAATGGTGGAGTAAAAGTAACACATTTTATAATGTAGAAGATCTAGATGTGAATTCATCGCTGCTAGCTCTATGGCAAACTGGCAAACTGCCACCCTATTCCAGGTTTCATT